GAGAGAGAGAGAGAGAGAGAGAGAGAGAGAGAGAGAAGGCCACGGACACGAAGTCTTTGAGAGTTATTATTCATGTTTCCCATTGTGGTCGTTCGTCACAGTTTTTGTCCTACCTTTTCTGACGTGAGAATTTCATAACGGGTGGAATCTGTCATGCAAAGAGGACACTATATCGCTATAAAAGAGTTGGGGACATCTACGTTTGATCATTCTGACTGCACAGAACAGCTACAATCATGGTGAGTACAGACAAAAGTTGTAGATGTCTTCAGCGTCTCTAGAGATCTTCCAGCTATCTCCTGGGAGAACTGAGTAGAAGTCTGTTCTATAGAGGAAGTAAAAGTCTGTTCTATAGAGGAAGTAAAAGTTTGTTCCTTTAGACGTATAAAAAGTCAGTTCTATAGTGATATAGAGAAAGGAAATGTCAATTCTATAGAGAAATAGAGAAGCAAAAAAGTCTGTTCTCTAGAGAAATAGACAAAGAAAAAGACTGTTCTATAATGATGTGTGAAGTGTGCTGACAAAATGAGTTACTTCTCAGAATTTAGACAGATGGAAATAGAAACATCAAATGTATAGGTTGAATTTTTACAATTTATCAGTATGAAATGATAAAAGACATGTTAAACCTGAAGAGAATGGCATTGGTTTAGACTCTACAAATATGAAGCAACTCATTTTGTTAGCACGCCTCACATATAAAGAAATGAAAGGTCAGTTCTACGGAGAAATAGAGAAGGAAAGGTCTATTCAAAAGACAATGTTCAGAGAATGCTTTAAAGAAAGAAGAACAATAAATGTAAAACTTTAGAAAGGCTGAAAAGAAAGAGCATTGAAAATTTACTTTGGATGTAGTAGTCAAAGTCAATGCCAACCAATTTGTTTGTGTGTGACATATCGTAATATAATGTGTTTGGCGAAATGAATATAGAAATTATTAAAACGACTAAACCAAACAAACAGACAAACAAACCAACAAACCAACAAACCAACCAACAAACAAAAAAGGCCACACTTTTAAAATTTCAATAGAACTTTTTTGGGTTTTTTTTTTTCTTTTAAAGATATTTTTAGACGTGCCTTGATTTGCTTCATGCCCCTGTTAGATATTGTGTTACAGGGGCATGAAAAGGGTGTGGGGGGGGGGGGGTGTCTCGTGGTCTAGCGGTTACGGTGTTCGCCTCTCATTCAATAGGTCCCGGGTTCGAATCCCGAAAGCGACGGGAAATTTTCTGCTCCAAAATATTCTCCTTCCAAATCCTTTCCTGCTCTCTAACAATTTTCTACTCTGTCTCCATCTTCACTTTCTGCTCCCACCCCCTCACCTCCCTTGCTTCCTCCACTGGGTTCCTGACTCTTTCTGCAGCCTTTGTACTGCTACTTCTTGGCTCCTTCTTACTGCTGTCTTTCAGCCACACCCCTGATCTTATGGCTGGAAAGATCTACACCTAGCCTCCTCGGAAAAAGGTGAAAAATCTCGGAGGTCCCGTGTGCAAGTTGCGTACGTTAAAATCCCTTAGTGTTCCAAAATCGATAAAAATTGGGACCAAAAGAAAAAAAAATCCAGTTAGTTCGCTCCTTCTGAATGATGGTATTCCAAGCCCATGACTCATGGGTTGGAGACAAAATGTAATTCAGAGAATCATACTCTTACAGCTGAAATGTTTATACAGAATGGTGTAGGGCATTTAACCGAAAAAAAACCAAACAAACAAAGCAAGATTTTGTTTTACATAGTTATTGCAAAATATTTTTTTTTTCGTATGATACCGAAACGAAATTTTTCACGTTAGTAATTTTAGTATTAGAGCCGATCGAGGGTATTTCGACTCTTTGAAAAGCGACAGAATTGAGTTTGAAAAGAGGAAATAACAACGGATTTGAGCAAGAACAAGCAAATGACAAATCAGATAAATCAGATATTGATGAAAAAGTTGTAACAAGAGTTTGGGGCGATTCAGATTAATCAGATGCAGAATTTAAATCTGAGAGTGAGAGTGACGGGCCGGATACCCAGATTGAACTAAAGTTGTGTTTACATAAAGTTAGTTATACTTTTCTGAAACTACGTTCATTTTTCTTTCTAAAAATTATTTTTTCAGGATTTTTGGAATTTATATAGTATTTTTAAAATGTGCTCTTTAAATGCGTGTATTCACGGGAGGTGGGTTCCTTCCCCTTGCTTAGGATCTAGGGACAGACTTCCCGTCCACACTTTAAGGGTGTAATCTGATAACTGGAGTTTTTGTTGTTTTTTGTTTTTGTTTTTATTTGTATTCATTTTTTTTTTGTTTCTCTCCTTCCAGATGTCTTACACGTTCCTTTTCCCTCCTATCTATTACTCCACCCTCCCCCCCCCACCTCTTTCTTTTTCGCCGTATCTGTATTTGTTTTTAGTCTCTGTTAGTATGTGTTGGATTTCGAGTTATTTATAGAACTGTTGTTGCTGTTGTTGTTGTTGTTGTTGTTGCTGCTGCTGTAGTTGTTCTGTTATATTTCTTCTCTCCTTCTACATGTTTTACATGTTCCTGATCCTCCTATCGCTTACCTCCTCTATTGGCTGCTGTGTCTTTATTTCTGAGGCATCGTGGTGAAATCAGGCGCTCGTTAAAATAATGAAATCAAAGAAACCAGCCTTTTTCTAGCCATTGAGCAATTTTTTTTCTTTTTTCGGCTCAATGCCTCTTATATCCATTCTAAAGCACTTCTTGTGTGGATTTTACTACAAACACTTTGATCAAAGGCACACAAAAAAAATGTAAATTTGCAGTTTCCATAGACACTCAAACTTTGGAAGCCGCCAAACTTTGGAACATTTTCCCGCTAATTTTACCTCTGACATTAGGCGATTCCCCCCCCCCCCCTCCTTTATTCGCAAATATCTCGACTTCTATTCAAGATAGATGGGCATTAAATTTGTTTCACGAAAAAACAAGACAAGTGATCACACTTTAACACGATACCAATAACTCCCTATACCCCAAAATTGACGAGTGCCTGATTCCACTATGTAGTGACACATTTTGCTTATTATCCCCCTGTTAGTAATCTTATCGACATGTATAGAACTGATGTCTTTTGCTGATTTTTCTCTCTATCTTCCTCGTGAGGTTTCCTTGGTTCCTGCGCCTTCTGTCTCTCACCTTCCGTGGTTGTCATCTCTTTCTGTGTCTCGTTTTCCTGTTTGCAAGCGTTAGTTATCGACGATTTGTTTAACTGATGTTCTTTTTATTTCTTGTTCTCTCTCTATCCCCCCTCTCTCTCTATCTATCTATCTTTCTTACTCTCTCTCTCTATCTTTCTCTCTCTCTCTCTCTCTCTCTCTCCTCTCTCTCTCTATCTATCTATCTATTTTTCCCTCTCTCTCTCTCCTATCTCTCTATCTATCTATCTTTCTCTCTCTCTCCTCTCTCTCTATCTACCTTTCTCTCTCTCTCTCTCTCTCTCTCCCTAACCCTCCCTCTCTCTCCAGATATCCCCTGTGTTCCTGCTTCTGCTCTCTCTTACCGCCCCTATTTGCAAGTGTTAGTTATCAATGATTTTTCTAACTGATGTTCTTTTTTATTTCTTGTCCTTTCTCTCACTCCAGAAATTCGCTGTGTTCCTGCTCCTACTCTCTCTTGCCTTCGCCGGCTGCAGCGCCGGGAGACGCTGGGGTATGAGAGGAGGGGGCGGAAGGTGGCCCTGCCGAGGTTTCTTCTGTAGGTTTTGGGGTCTAAGTCGTCGTCTCCCAGCGCCCTGGCGACCCTCGCTCCCCGTGTGTAGCGGGAAGGGCACCCTGGGGGAAAGATTCGCCCTCAACTTGGGCATCAACGACGCTGACAACGACACTTTCGTCTCAGGCCCGGAGATCTACAACGACTTCAAAAACAACTACGACACCAACAACGACGGCTGCGTCACTGAGGCCGAGTGGACGCAGCGCTGGGAGAGGGGACTTCGCTTTTCCAAGGCATACGCCGTGAACCGTTTCGCCGCTTTGGCAAGCGATAACGTCACCTGCCCCATCACGTACGAAAGTTTCGAGAACAGCACCGATATGCAGATGCCGGTGGGCATCTTTCTCTCAGCCAATCTGCAGACCCTCGTGGAAACATGCCAGAGCGACAACTCTCGGCTCATCTCCAACTGCGACTGTCTACAGTTGTTGGGCGCTTGTGTGAACGACGCTAAGCTCAGCGAAGACTCCGTGTGTAAGGCGTACGTGGTTCAGCCAGTTATTGCCACCGACTAACCCGTCGTCGATTGGTTGGAATGTCAGAAACTAGAGTACCCACTTCCTCGGTTTTAGGACCCGCGACAAATTGATTTATTTCAATAAAGATAAAGAGCTTAGTTGAGGCTTTTGTTCTAATTCTGAAATATTTTCTTGGATCTGGCTGGAAATAAAAAGAAGAAATATATTATGGCAAAATTGTTGTTTGTGCTATGATTTTGTTTGAAAATGCATATAGATCTATGTATTGGTGTATGATATGTGTGGCGTCGCAGTGAAATCAGGTGTTCGTTAAAATTATTTGATCTAAGAAACTGACATTTTTCCACACCTAGACCAATTCGCTGCCTTTGAATTACAAAGTTCTTTCTGACACTTTTGACAGTTTTTGAGTTCCCGAGACCAAGACATCAGAAACCAAATTACATGCTCTATCTGCTTTGTCAAAAGTGTGAGATTATTCGGGGTCGTTATCAAACTATTCAAAAAACTGCATTTGAAAAACATTGGCATGTTGTAGAACTCCACATTTTTACGTCAAACTGATCAAAACAAAGTATTTAGCAGATAGAATTTTGTAATTTGAGGGTACCGAACTGTTTTCGTCTTTTTTCAATAGATTTTTATGTCATTTTGAAGAAATATTATAATTTATGTGAGAATCTAATTTTTTTTTCAAAAGGAACACACCGTTTATGACAGGTAAAATTTTTTTTAAAACTCACACAAATTTTCCGTTGTCAAGAACACTCAAGCTTTGGAAGTCACCAAACTTTGCCGGCCATTTTCTCGCAAAATTTACCTCAGACAGTAGCCCCCCCTCCTGCAATAGCAAACATCTGGACTTTTACACAAGATGGGTGGATAATTTAATTTCATCAAAAGTAGCACGATTGAAAAAGCTTACTGTTCGGGATACCAATAAAATTGACGAGCGCCCACACACACACACACACACACACACACACACACACACACACACACACACACACACACACACACACACAAAAACACACTCACAAACACACACACATTATATATAAATATATCTAGTACACATCTTAAATTGAATGGAGTTTAGCTGCGCAAAGAAGCTAAAGAAAGTTAGTACCTGTGGTTGTTGTTGTTGTGGTTGTTGTTATTGTTGTTGTTATTGTTGTTGTTATTATTTTTGTTGTTATTGTTGTAGTTATCTATCCAGTTACAGGTGGGCTCTCGCCCTTCTGTCCAATGCCATGTAGTGATAAGTGCAGGTTTGCTGCTGTTGCTGTAATGTTCCATAGAGTGTGTTGTCAATGTTATGTTTGGGAAGGAGAAGTGTAACTCTGATGTCTTTTAGGGCTGTGCAGGAGACCAGATGATGACCCACAGTCTCATAATATGTACAGTCACACCTACCTGTGGTGAATCACAACAATGTGTTGATTAATACCACACTCGGCATACACGGTTTCTTAGATTATAACCAATACGGAGAGTATAAAAACGACGGCAGAGGATTTTCATGATTGTAGGAGCACAAATAAATACAGTAAAGATACTTTCGGCTTTTCAGAATATATTTAACATTGCGTAGAGATTAGCTTGGCAAAGAAGCCCATAAAATGCTAGCATCTGTCGTTGAGCCCAATAATGTGTTGGTTGTTACAACTAGGCATGAACAAAAACTGACAGATTAAAACAAATACTGATAATGTAACGACCGACCCAAAAAGTTGTTAAAAACAGTATGAGGACAAAGAAATAAAGATGTTTACGGCTTTTCCGAATGTATTTAGAATTGAGTAGAGTTTAGCCTGGCGAAAAATATGCCAGCACCTTTGGTAAAATACATTGATGTGTTGGTTGTTACAACTTGGCATTCACTGAAAATAATAGATTTAACCCAAAATTTGTTAGATACTTAAAACAAAAGGAAGATATTTTAAAAATAAAGATGTTTGCAGTTTTTTAAGAACATTTCTAGGTTTGGATAAAGTTTAGCCGTGCAAAAAAGCTAATGAAATGCAATCGTCTGTAGTAGATGTTTACTTGTTTACTTGTTTACTTGTGTGAAGGACCGACATTACTGCACAAGGGGCATCCCCTCAAGCGCTCCGTCCCCTAAAGAAGCACATCTCGAAGTGTGTAGATGCTGACGGTTCCAAGCAATGGTTAAGTCTTGGACTTCTTCAGGCGCCCCATCCAATTTCAAGCTCACGAAGTCGCTCAAGATGATGGTCTTCCGTCTCTTCTTGTTCTTGTTCTCTTTTCTCCTTGACTGAACGTACAATTTCAGGTTTGTCAGGGCACAGCTTCCCATCTGGTTTTGCTTTCCCAGCGAGCTCATCAGCCCGCTCATTCCCTTTGACTCCAGCAGTAAATGTAAACACAATGAAAAGTTTATTCTAGGCATGCACAAAATGTAATAGATTATGAGCTATACTTATGTGTCACGACCGACAGCACAAGTTACCCAAAACAGTGAAAAGACAAAAAACATTATAAAGATGCATTTAGCTTTTAAGAGTACATCTAGAATTGGATAGAGTTAAGCCTGGCAAAGAAGCCTATAAAATGCCAGCACCTGTGACAAACACAATGATATGTTGGTTCTTACCACTTGACACGAAAAAAATTAATAGATTATAACCAATACTCAAAGTGTAACGATCGACCTCACAACTACTCGAACAGTAGGACGACCAAAAAATATTTTATTTAAGTAGAGGGTTTTACGGCGCTCGCAACTGCATAAGGTCATATGAGCGCCAAGGAAAAAAATAAAATAAAATGCAATTACGAACAATTGCAGGTTTTGGATGGTGTTTACTTGTGCAAAGACATTTTTTTGAAACGCTATCACCCGAGGTAAAACAAAAACATGTTTGTTTGTACAACTAGGCACACACAACATTTCATAGATTTTGACAAATACAGAGAGTGTAACTACCGACTGCGTAAGTTGCTCAAAATAAAGGGAAGACTAAAAAAAATGGATTAAAGATGCGTTTAGCCTTAAGCTTGGCAAAAATGGGCCTAGATCTATAAAATATTAGCACCTGTGGTGAACCCCC